TGGTTCTGCTGCCCATCCAGAAACATTAGCACCCCAGGCCCAAGGAACCACCTGAACAGCCCAGAAAGGCAGGGCCCAGAGAGGGCCTGAGCTGGCCCAAACTCACACAGCCCAGCAGTGCAGGCTTGGCCACTTGGTAACTGCCCCAAGCTACTGCATGCTTCTGACCAGCCCACCAAGAACTCTGAGCCAGGAACAGCCGTGGGCCCAGCCTAGGGGACCCTGGACACTGCTGCCCATTCCCCTGTGGCCCTCATCTGCCAAAGATATGGGCCAGAGGCTCCACGAGTCATGGCTCCCTCCCCTGCTCCTGGGCCTGCTGTGCCTACAGTGCTGGAGAGCCCCTGCAGCCTCCACCTGAGGTCTATTCCACGCCCATAACACCTACCCCACAATCATCCTTCCAGGCCACCCCAGCTGACAGAAGGGGACACGAAGGCTGACCCAATATTGCTGCCTGCCTGGGTCACATAGGCCTGTCCTGTCACCCACTGTTCTCAAATGCGCTCTGGACAGAACCCACCAGACACACAACTGTGAGATCCTCAATAGCCCTAGGGTGGAGGTGCTATGACCAAACCCTTTCCCTGGCTGTTCCTTCCCCTGAAGGTCAGGGTGACTGGGAAGAAGACGGGGCAGGAACCAAGGCCCCATGACCTGTCCCTGAAGGCTAGACAGCAGACAGGGGATTTGGCCCTGCTAAGTGGCTGCACTCCACGGCAGTCAGCTGGGAGGGGTCTAAAGTGGAGACTCACAGGGCTCCGTCCCCTGCCCTGGCCGGCTCAGCAGTTTCCTCTCTGCCTGAGAGCATATGAGACATGCAGGATTCTCAGCAGCAGGTGGGCAGGAAGAATGTCTGAGTGGGCAAAGGATGGGCCAGACCCCTGTAGCTGACCCCAAAAGGAAAACCCTGGGCTGGGGAAAGTAGGGAGACAGAGAGCTGCCTGAGATGGGGCACAGAAGAAGCCTGGCAGCAGCTGCGGGTTCCAGAGAGGGGAGAGAGGAGGGGAGGCACTTTATCAAAGGTCATGTCAACAGAGGTAGGGCCTACAGAATGAAGGAGGCTTTTCCTCACATGCTAAGTGTGTCACATTCTGTCCCAGTCCGCCTTCTACCGGCTGAATGCAGAGAGGGCACCTAGGGGGAAGTGGATCTGGGGAAGTCATGTCACCCAAGGAAAGACTGCAGGAGCTGGCCTAGAATTCTTCTCCAGACCCCACAGCTCTTGCCCTGGGCACATAAGGTAGTGAGTTCCCAGTCCCCAGAACTGTGCAAGCCTCACTCACCCAGAGACACTGACTCTGGTGTCAGTACCACACACTTCCAACACACGTGCAAGCACATGAGCGCACACACACAACTGAGCCTAATCTAGGCTGAGCAGAGCAGCTTCCCATGATGCAGCAGAGGGAGGAAGACGTAGACACGGCAGCCAGTCTGAAGTTTCCTGGTTAATCCTTCAACCCAGCTTGATGGCTTTGTCACCACAACCCCAGAGCCACAAGACTGAAACCAGAGCACAGCCCCAACCCCATTCACAGGCAGGAAACTGAAGCTTAGACAAAAGGCATTTACCGAGATCAGCTGGCCCCAGGAGGTCTCAGACCTGAGGGTGAGCCCAGCCCCCAGCATGGAGTCACTACCCCTGGGTATGAGAACGCACAGATCTCTGGGGCTTCCCCAGGCCTGTCTACACCCCTGGACCGGATGCTTACCACCCAGACCTGGAGTTGGAATCTGTCTCCCACACTGTCTACGCTTGTAGCACAGAGTTAAGAATTGGAAAAAACACCCCTTCAGTAAGATTTAATAACCCCTACCTGCTGGAAACCTGTTGAAAGAACTATATGTATCCCTATAGAGAGCTGAGAGGTGGCAGGCGCCCCCTGGAGTTGGGCAATGACCCCTCGCACAACCGGCCCTGTCCCACCCCAATCCACAGCCACACACAGAGCCCAGGAGTGGGATAAGCATGGCCCAAGGACACAGGGTCCCCCAACCCCATCACAGCTCTGGCTCTACTCCAGAGCTGACTCCCCCCATCCACACTCAAGGCTGCCAGATCCTCCCAGGCCTCTTTCTTCATGCTGCACTCTTCCCCGCTTTTTTTCTCTCTTTAGGCAGGGTCTCGCTCTGTTGTCCAGGCTGGAGTGTACTTGTGCGATCTGGCTCACTGCAACCTCTACCTCCCGGGTTCAGGCGATTCTCCTGCCTCAGCCTCCCAATTAGCTGGGACTACAGGCGTGCACCACCACACTCAGCTGATTTTTGTATTTTTAGTAGAAAAGAGGTTTCACCATGTTGACCAGGATGGTCTCGACCACTTGACCTCCTGATCCGCCCCGCCTTGGCCTCCTGAAGTGCTGGGATTACACACACAACCACTGCACCAGGCTCACTCTTCCCTCTTAATTCCAAGAAGCCACGGCTCTCTCAAGGGCTTCTTCAAATAAGTCAGGTGACTCCCCCCAGCCCTCCTTCACCCACAGGCATACCTCACTCAAACCCACATATCAGCCAAGAAACAGAGGCCCCCGCCCAGCCCAGACGGAGTCGAATAAAGAACCCAGGGCTCTGCCCACCTGTGGGATCCCTCTAAAGGATGAGCCCACAGGAGTCTTGCCCCCTTCACCCCGAAGTGCAACTCACTCCTGCTTCACAGGTGCATAAACCGAGGCTTGGAGAGGAACAGGAGCTGCTCTAGAGCGCAGCAAGCATATGGCACAGCTGAGAATGGAACTCAGACCTCCAGACACTCCCGGGAGTCCCCCGGCCTGAGCTTCCCCACCTATGATGTCCAGCAGCTCAGAGAGGGTGAGTGGCTCCTCTGGGTCACACAGCGCTTGGGCACAGCCAAGTGTCCTCACTCGCTGGCTCACCGGACTCTGGATCTGGTCATCTAGCAGCACATCAAAACCAAGCTAAGATTCCCCGCTGTGACCCAGCTCCTCTCCTCCCCGCCTCCCTCAGTAACCTGGCAGTGCAGGGGAGGCTTTAAAGGCACAAGAACTGCTGCAGGTGGGACAAGGGCAGGCTCCTGGTCCCATCCCTGTGGCTATGTGATCTGGGACAGCTGCAGTTCTGAGTCCGGTGGGGTCTCAAACCCTGAATGAGAGACGTGAGCTCTGAAGGCCTTGGTGGGGCTGAATGAGGCCGGGTTTCAGCGGAAGTCAGATTAG